TTTTTTTTGCCAATCGGTAATATTTTGTCATATCTTCGGCACTTTCGTTGTTCCTGCTTCGAGTCATTTTTTTTTTGTTCTAGTGTTCATTGAACTCAAGTACCCCGTTCTACATAGTTTTTAAATGTCAGATCTCAGTTTTTTCTCCCCTTAACGTACCACTCGAATGTGAGTAAATTAACTCTCATCAAAAACGATTAAACTCTTGCTAAGGTAGTTTTTTGATTATTCCAATAGAACTGTTTAACTATTGTTGCTTTTCTACAAAAAAAAACTTCATTAAATAAACGGCCTCAAGCTTAATAAAAATGTTGAATACTATAAAATTTTTCCGAGATAGGGTTTGAGGCACCTTCACCTTCTAAGTATACATTTAGAGGATGCTCATGAAATGTTTATATTACTCTAGTAATATTTTATAAACACGTATATATATTAACCAAACAATTAGTTAGGCAACCTGAGAACATTTCAAATGTAAATTAGTTAAAAAAATAACAAGCTTCAGTTGTCATAACAACAGTCTCGAAGCGGATACAATAGCGTATTTGACGGTCATTGAGCACCCTGCATTGGTTACATTAGAAAATTGAAAGTTGATATATGTATGTATGTAGGTAGATATTACAGAAGTCAAAAGGAAAAAGCTAAGGGGGTTCTCCGTTTTCTACGATGAAATTTTTCCCCCATACAAAAATTGGACCACTCTAATGTACATACACACAAGTATATGTACATATATATAGATGTTTACTTTTTACATGTGTAATATAATTTACTGTAAGATAACTTTGTACCTACTATTATACACTATTTAACAAAAGTTAAGAACAAACGCAGACGGCAAGAACTAAACGTACAAAAATAAATCAACTACGTCATTTATTTTTACAACGCTTTTATCAACTTGCAATGTTGTGGATCCAGAAGCTTTCAATGTTGTGTGTCCGACACCAAAGCAAAGCTTTGAAAAGCTCCTATAAAAAAGCATAGTGAATAGGGCGACATCTGTAGTGAAGTAGTGCATAGGCCGATAGCTGTAGTGAATAGGGCGAGGTAGATGACATCTAGATGCCGCCCTATGTACTACGTTTGCTACAGCGGAAATAGACGATACGTCATTCTTTAAATAAAATTAATTGGTGCTCGTTTGTATGTACATACATATGTAAATGCATGTGTGTGCACCTTTCTATTAATATCGTTGAATTATTTTAATATCTATTGCAAAATTTTATTCAGACAGGACTAAAAAGTAGAAAATAAATAATATAAAAAAAACTTTTTAATATACATCGCTTTTATAAATGGACTAAAAAGTAGAAAATAATATTTCTCAGTCCCATAGAATTTGTTTTGATAACTTTTGATTTTGAAATTTTAGCAAAAGTCATTATAAACAATCTATGAAATTGAAAATGAAAAGCGTGGGGCGCATGTAATACACTTGAATTGATATGAAAAGTAATATATGTATGTATGTATGTGGGTATATGAATAACGACCGCTTAAAATCGATTTCAAAGTTTTACTTTCGCTGTAGAAATTTTAGGTCTACGTTATGTAGTTTGACTATTGTCAACTAAATCGAATGCTTTGTAAGTGAAGTAACTTGTGGACCACTTGAGTTATAGGGTGACCAGTTGGTAACCACTTTGGGACCAGTTGGTAACTAGTTCGTGGGCCCAGTTGGTAACCAGTCGGGGACCAGTCCGGCACCAGTTGGGAAGCAGTTTAGGACTAGTCCGAAACTACTTACCTTCGGACCAGTTGGGGACCAGTTGGTCTTTTTAAGCTCCTGTGGCCGTTTTAAGGGTAATTCTTGGGCTCCTGCACTGCCGCTCGGGGTTTCTGCCTTCTACGGTGGTAATTTTGGGCCGGGTTTCCTGTTTTGGCGGATTGTTGTGTTGTGTGTAGAAATTTTAGGTCTACGTTATGTAGTTTGACTATTGTCAATTAAATCGAATGCTTTGTATTGCATGCGCTCCACGCTTTTCATTTTCAATTTCATAGATTGTTTATAATGACTTTTGCTAAAATTTCAAAATCAAAAGTTATCAAAACAAATTCTATGGGACTGAGAAGTATTATTTTCTACTTTTTAGTCCATTTATAAAAGCGTTGTATATTAAAAAGTTTTTTTTATATTATTTATTATACCATAAAGTAGTCAAAATTGTGTCTAAAGGTTACATATTTTTATAGCTCAGCTTGAACACTTGCTTCTCTCTCTGTACTCTACAGATGCTTTTACTCTACGTAGGTGAAATTTACACACACACACACACACAAACATACATACAATGAGGCATTCTTGGTCAACTGAAGACGTCCTCATCCCAAAATTGCGGACGAAAATGTTTAAAAAATAATTGGTTTGATTTGAAATTCGTTACTCGAGGGATTTTAGGGTCGCATGGGGTCATCCGTTTTTTACACTTTTAAAAATGTTTCGTCCTATTGAATCCGTTATTTTGAAAATTAAGAATTAATGCTCAGATTTATAATCAGATACCTCAAAAAACCAGAGTAACAAGTTTCCAGTGGATTCAATAAATTTTTAGAAACTTTTGCGATAATATTTCCGTCTTGTTTCAAATAATGCAACTCATCATTCATGGAAAAATATTTTTACCGAATTTTTAAGTATACCCATTATTTTACCTGAACCAATTTTGGAGAGAGGGGGACTTAAGTTGACGAATGCTTCATATGTACTCGTATACGTACGTTTACGTTTCAACTCACATTCCGATTTCCCATAAATCGAGTCACATTCTTTTCAAGCATGATCAAGTTCAACCTGGTTTTTCTATTGGAAAATTGACTCGTGGAAACTTTCGTTCGATGATTTAATACGACTTTCGACTTCGGATTACTGTTGACGTTGAGCAACACCAACAGCTCCGAGAAAATTGGGAACGACCTCTTCGAGCCATTTAGATACCAAGTCTAGGCGACTCTCTTTCCTGTGATCTCCTTAATCATCATACGAACGGTCGCGCTGTTCACAGCTATAATGTCGAAAATTAGACAACCGTATTTACTTGGGAACCAACATTAACGACAATGAAAATATCAGCCTTGAAACATAATGGAGGATCACTGTTGCCAACAAATGCTACTATATACTGAGTAGTGTTGGAGTGTTCGGGAGAAATATTTTACGGAATAGACATATATGACCTTTTAAGCATTTGTGTTGGCGAGTACCGGACCCTATGGAACGATGAAATGTACGAGTTTACAAAGATATTAACATATATACATACTTCCCAAGGAGTCGGAGCAAAAGTACCGATTTACTCCAGCAGTACTAGAGGGTATAAACTATACGCTGGTGGTAACAAAACAGGAGAAAGCCTCCTCTTCTTCGGATAAATCAGGTGGAGAAGCACTTAGCTTAACTCGGTGTTTCCAGGTGGCGCCAGCGAGCGAGAAGAAGCAACGGCTTCTCAGGATTTGCATTGAAATGAGTGGTTGCGTAGTCTATGAAGGGGGCTGTCTTCAAGCCATATTTCCGTAGCCAGGTAGCCCTAGAAATAAAGTCTGGTGGGAATTCAAACAATTTCGGAGTCTTAATCTTAGGGCCAGTTTTTCAGAGCTAGTTTAAGCTTAGATTAAGTAAACTGAGTTTAAATTGAACAGCTGGCTAACATTTGATTGGCTGATCGTAGTTTAAACTAGCCAAATCGAGCGTTCAAACTAAGTGTAAACTATGGCCGTAGACTGAAAAACTTAATGCAAACAAGGCCTCGTACGGTGGCGATAAGAAAAATTGATGATAGTGGCTCAGAAAAAAACCATGCCTGTACCAGCCCGCCAGTAAATTAAAATGGATCTAAACCGATCTAAGAAAGATGAAGAAGAGAGATGCATCGCCCCTCACAAAAATGGATAGGCAGCCCGTTGTGAAAGTCGAAATGAACAATCCAGCGGTCTCTGGAAGCCACAAAACGCTTCAAGCTACAATTGTAGTCATAGCACTAACTGTCGCGGGGGTAGCAAAGGCTGAAATCCACGATATCCACAGATGACGTTGTCTTTAAGCTCGGCCGAGATGATAAGATAATCCGATGCCTAAGCCGACAGCGAGGGACTAGCATTTGATGGAATTGGCTAGCAGAAGAAGAGCGATGTTTTTGTTGTATCAGCATAACTCAACCCCCAGTGGTCTCGTCAAGTAGTGCCCACTTTACCGTCAGAATCGGTGAGCCTGTGTACGAGAAAGCGGTTGACAACTGTGGGCATAGCCCATAATGCTTTCGATGT